AATTATTAATTTTAAAACTTGGTTGATTTATTTTTCAAATTGCTGCCGAATATAAAATACAATTATATATCACAATAATATTTAATTTGACACATTTCTGTTTTATCAACTGAGAATACTATTTTATAGTTTTAACATTGATTTTTGATTATATATTCTTGTTATTAAATGTTTATATTATATGCGAATTATAGTGAATTTGAAACTGCATTCATTCAAATAATAGTAAATTTATGAAATTGTCTTTTAAACTGACCAATTGAAAAGTTAAACAAATATTTATTTATAAGACAAATTCTTGTCTTATAAATAAAAATTCACAATTAAACATATATTTTTCTACTTCATAATTATCTATTATATCAATTTTTTCTAATTATATTAATGGTAATAGTTATATAATATTTTAGTTATGCTTATGTAGCATATAAAAAAAACAAAATTAAACATGAAAGATTATTAGTTTAAGATTATTAGTTTATAAAGAAAAAAGAAAATATAAATGGAAATAAAAATTTTTTTACAATAAGTTGTTGTAATATTTAAGATATTAAAAATACGGAATTTACAGAAAGATTCAAAATAAATTTAATTTGGAAAGCTTAAAAATTTATGTTTGAACAAAAAAAGAAAAGCATCGTTATATCAGGATCAAGACATTGTACCGAAAAAAAATTTTTTTTTCATTTACTAGTGATAAAGAGATAAAACAAAATAGAGAAAAGAATTAAAATAGAAATCACTCAAGTAAAATCACATTTTACTTGAAGAAACTGGATTATAAGGTAGAATATCTAGAAAGAAATTATATATTTCAGAAAGAAATGCTCAAAAATATTTAAGTATTAAGAGAACTACAATAAGTCGGTCATATTTTGAAAGTTTATAATGAGCGATGGATTTAAATTTGAATTTCAGTCGAATGAATAGAAACAATAATAATATGTATGAAGAAAAAATAAAGTATTATTATTTAAATTATGTTGTGGGATTGTTTCAACATAATATAAAAATTGAAGAATTAATAGTTTGACAATATATTAAGTAACAAAATATAAAAATATTATACGAAAACTTATTTCCATTAATTAAAAAATTCAGAAATAATAGAAACTACTTAAATATTTCAATATAAATGATCTAAAACATGTAAAAATTATTAAAAAATTTATCAAGAAAAATAATACTCTTTTTTTTATCACTTATTTTAAAAATTTTAATAATTTTATTTTAAAAATTGTTCATTTTCTGAAAAATGATCGTGATTTTCCAAGAAATGATCCAAAAAGTCGTCTAAATGACAAAATTTGGACTAAAAATTTGTTTAAATGTAGTTGATAATATAATATATACTCAATTTTGATTTATCTTGAGTATTTTTTTATAAATATATCTCTTTGAAGTTATTCTATTTTTATTTCACATAAATAAAGATTTATTGAAATTTTTCTTAATGTAAGAAGAATCATAAATACATATTTTTGTGTTACGAATCTCTTATTTGAAGAAAATAAATTCGAATCTCAAATGCGTATAATTATCTTAAATTGAATCGTAAATTTCCTTCTTATTGTCATCAAATTAAAGATAAATAAAAGAATTTCAAAGTTTTAAAATGGTATATCTCGGCAAAAAATTGTTAACTATAATTGATTTTTTTCGATATTATTAAGAAGAGAATACTTTATATGAGTATAAGATATCCCAAAAATGTGGGAACATCCGTAAATTAGAGATTTCTAACGTAATTTCAAGCAATATTGTTTTTTGTAAAAATTTCTATTATTATTTTATAACTTAACTTAACTAACTTAACTTAACTAATTACGGAACGCATAGCCTAGTCAAATAGTGACGACAGTGTTAATTATGTATCGCCAAGCATATAAAAATAAATCGAAACAATATATATATATCGAAGAAATTATGTTGAATATTTATAACTTATAATTTATTGATTATTTGTGATATAATTTAATATAATTTTTTATTGATAATAAAATTTTATCTCTAATTTATAATAACAATATATAATTTATATATAATAATTTTTATTTTATTATATAAAATTTATTCAACATACTTCCACATATTGTTTCTGTTCGACGGCATATAATTGCTATTGTCATAGTTACGAGATTACATGTTTCCTGATTAGTCAATTTTTTATTAATAATTCATTAACAAAACTGTAAAATTTTTGCAAAGGAAAATATTAATTGAAATTAATTCAGAATTCTTCTTATATTTTTGAGATATTTTGTATATGTAAATTATATTGAGAAAATGAGTTTTGAGAAAATTTTAAAATATGCTATCATTTTATTTGATAGAAATTGTATTACAATGACATGATAATTTATTCTTAACTTTAAATTTTTTAAAGATTTCTTTTACATCTTATGATTCAAAAAATATATATGTATAATTCGTTGAGTATATTATGTATATTATATTATGTATTATAAATTGAATTAATAATAAAATTCTTAATAAATACCTTATATTTTTCAATTATTTCGCAAGCAATCTTCTCATTGAATTCTGGTGCACTTATTTTTTTGATATGGAAATAAATACTTTTGAGATTAAGCAACGATCCACTGATCCAGTACAAAGGAGTAAACCATAATTGTACTTGAATACCATAAGGAAAACCTTCCCTTAGTTCCATAATATTCAAAATTGACTTATGTGAAAGTTGTACGCCTTTAGGCATACCCGTTGTTCCAGATGAAAAGATGATCAAACCAGTATGTGAGGGATCGTCAATATCAGTACATTGAAAATTAGCTATAGTTGATTTATCATGATATTTCAATGTCTCTGAAAAAGGCACTGTGCCAGGATAATAGCCGAAACACACCAGTTTTGTATGATGAAGTTCAATTTTCGCCGCTTCCAGTGCGATTTCCGCTGATCCCTCATTCACGAAAATTACTTTTGGTTGAGATAATGTTATAAAATGTCGTGCCATATCTATAAAGTTATATTTCATTTATTTTGAAACTATATAATTGAAATCTTTCATAATTGAAATATATTAAATATATATAATTACATATATTATATATATATTATAATATGATTATTAAATTAATATAATTTTTTTCTATTTGCCTTTATTAACATATGATTCTTGTTATATCTTGATGTTTCTTTTTTAATAATTGCTTTTAAATCAGATAATTTGTATATAAATTACATATACATTTTTCTTTATTTCAATGATTTTCAATTTATCAATTTTTAGAATCAAGTCAAACTATATATAACTATACTATTTTATGATCTATGCAAATATTTTTGCATAGATTATTCTAAAAAAGATATCGTAAAAATCGTATAATTTGATAATCGTAAATAAATTATAATTGAAATTCAAAATTAAATTGAAACAATTTAAAAATTCCACGAGATATGTATGTCGAATATAATCACATATTTCTAAAAATACAAGTAAATAATTTTTTAATTATTTTAATTTAATTAAATTAAATTTCTTTTTGAAAATCGAAAGTGTTAAGCTTTAATTCGTTATAATTAATTCGTGATAATTTCGAATTTTAATTTCAAATGAAATATAAAACAATGCAAAATAATTATAAATGCAGCTTTATTTTTATATAATTTAATGTTTTTTTAAATATTATAGTTTGATGATTGTATTTGAAAAGCATACATTTTTGATTGACATTAAAGGAGTTAAGGGAATCCTGACATTAAAGGAGTTAAATGAATAGAACCTTAACTTCAAATCTTTATTAATTTTCAAGATATTAATAAAAAACTTTTGATATAATACATTAAATTTTATCTATATGTGCATATTGGTAATGTATGCGTCAAATTGCGACTGTTTATCTATTATTTCTATAAACACATTGTAGCGAATAGCAAATGTATAAATCGATTTCCTATTTCCTTATAAATTATGACTTTGAGACTTAAAATATCTCAAATTCACTTAGACATTCTATAGATTCGAAGAATCGAAATTATGGAATTGACAATGAATAATAATATTTTCTATCTATCGTTATAATTATAATCTATAAGAAATTTTTATTATAATCTATAAGAAAATAGATTTTTCTTATAAAAAAATAGAATTGATCTACTTGTTATATTTTGAATGCTATTTATATATTATATAATTACGATATGTTTATAGAATAGAAAAATGATCACACCATGCTAATATACATTGCAAGAATATGCACATATAAACAAAATTTATTGTATTGTAGCAAAAGTTTTTTTAATATTTCGAAAATTATAACAATAAAGATTTGAAATTAAAATTTTATTCAAACGTCCTTTCCTCTTTTCTTTTCACCTCAAATTTTTAGTTTGTTTAAAATGAATACCTCAAATTTGATATTTTTTCAATTAAAAATTTTTCATTGAAAAAAAGTATGTAGTTTATAAGTATGTAGTATATTTAAATATGTAGAAAGTCATAAAAAAATTTTTAATATTATAATAAATTACATCCAAGCAATGATCTATATTTCCATTATTCAAAGTTAAATTGAAAGAGTTTAAAAATTTACAATTTGTATTTATTATTATACATATGTACCGTATAAAAATCGGTTGTCAAGCATTCACATAACTAAATACATAGGTAAAAAGATTAAGTTTCTAGTTCCAATAATCCCTTCCAGGCCCATTTGTATAGAAGTAAAACTTTTCTGCAGAAAATATATGAAATCGTAATTAAAAATTAATCGTAAATTAAAAATTTGATGATGTATGATGGTTTCAAATTACAATTCTTTTCTCAAACTATAACACTTATATAACTTTTTATTACATCAATTATGAAAATTATTCGAAATTTTTAAATGTAACGAAAAAATTTAAAAATTTAAACAGGTTTAAATTCTTTTTATAGTATATAAATGAGAAAATTTTTTCTTTTTTATCTTAAAGATTCGATAGAAAAGAAACAGATATTGTGTTAATAATTGATATTTTGAATTTACGTTTATTTTTTGCATTCCAATCATTCTTTCGCTTTATTGCTTTATTTTATTTCGATTGTTTTCAGCGATTTATTTATAGATATGATGGATTAATAATGAGAATTTGATATGTGATTCGAGGCAATGAACTAATTTGATTCGTCAGTAACTTATAATCTCAGTATTGTAGATATATTATATTCATTATTACATATCTGATATAAAAAAGGAATATTAATAATCTTTTGACTGATCTTAAATTCAAAAAATCAACTATTTTTAAAATGTTTCTTATCGTTATTTGCACTTGATATCGATAATTAATTAATATAATATTTTCTTTGATGACTTGTTCATTGACAACAACTTGTTGTTGTTGTTGAAAAAATTCTACATCTTCAATGATTTTTATAATTTTGAAACATATTATTAAGAACATTATCATATTAAATATTNAATATAATATTTAATATTTTCTACATTACATTGAATTAGCCGATTTAGATTTGATTTAGATTTATTCAGAAATCAATGTAAGATCACATATTTATGATGTTTATATTGTAATAAAAATATGTTTTTTCATAATAAACATATATATCGATTAACATTATATCGACTTTTTTAATTATTTGGATCCGATCATTCTTTTATGACTTTTCTTATGTTTCTTATGTGTATATCTCAACAACATTTTTTTAAACTTATTAAAACTCATGAAGAGATAGATATTCAACAAGTTGTTTGTCTTTATATATTTCATCATATAATATTGTTAAATATAATAATATAAAAATAAAAAAAAGACAATTGTAAATTAAAAAATTTGTTATTTAAATGTCTTTTATGATTAAAGATTTACCAATGTTCATTAGATGATCCCATGGATTGACAATGGCACCTAGATAGAGTGTAGCAAGAAAAGGAATTATACAATCGCGGTGATTGTGTGTACAGATTGCGACAATATCTCCTTTTCTCACTCCATGTTTCTGCATCCAAAGTCCACATTTTATTGTCCGATCGCATATATCGGAAAAATTATCTTCGATTCCTGAAATCGCGTCAACCTAAAAAATTCGATTACTTGAATAACTGGTTGGACAAAAATCAAAGTCAAAAAGCTATTTCCAAATATAGAATCTTTAAATGTAGTTTTTCAATTTTATTTTATACTTCTGATGAATTTGCAAAAAACTACTTCATCTTTGATTTTGATAATTTTTAAATATATTATATATATTATATAAAATTTAAAATTTTTTCTATATAATAAATGATTAATTTTAGTTTTGAATTATTTGCAAAAAAAGATTGCTATAAATTCATCGAATATATATAAACAAATGATAATGTAAATGTCAACATACGATTGTCATTTATTTATTATTTATAATATAATAGATTATAATACTATCCAAAATATATAATAGAGAATTATATTTCATTATTATATTTCATTATCATATAATAATACTAGTATTTAATATATACTAGTATTTAAGGAATTCTCAGAAAATCAAATTTAAATTATTGTAATATTCAACGTTATTTTTAGAATCTAGTATTTTTCCAAATTTTTCTAGTATTTTACATGAAAATTAGAAATAATAATGTAAGCCAAATAAAAACATACACTTTCTTCATATAAACTGATTTCTTTCCTAACAATATTTAAATTATTAGAAAAAATATTCTTAATAATTCTAATTAAAATTATAAGATAATCAAGAGCTAATACCGAATCAGTTGACTTTAGAAATTGAATGAAACGCACAATTGAACAAGTCCATAACATAATTAATCATGACTATTTTGAAAACGAAAATACATATTTTAGATAAAAAAGTATATACATATATATATATATATATATATATATATAAGATTTGGCATAAACACTTAGTATAAGTATAAATCTAATATAAAATAACAATTTCCAAACATAATTTACTAATTATTAAAATTTTACCGAAATAATAGAATATATATTACTTAAAAATAAAATTTATAAATTCACAAATACTCATTGTAAAAGAGAAAATATAGCGATTATGCAACAATAAAAATAAGTGAAATAACTAAACCAATTAATATTTGATATAATGATAAGAATATTGCAATTATAAGAAAATTGTAAAACAAACATCTGCAGAATCCATAAAAATAAAATAAAATAATGATGCAAAAAATATAAATATTCTGAAACTCCATTGAAAATAGCATCCACATGTTTCTCCTAACTTCTTCGAATCGTTTTTGCAGAATACAAAAATAAAATATAAAATAATCGAAATTATAAATATTAAAAATATATTGATATTTATATTTGATATTGATATTTATTTGTAATTTCGATTAGAAGAATTCGCGGAATATCCACTTTTTGATTTGAGATATTTTAAGCTCATACTCTATAACCAAGTAGATGTTTTAATTCATCGTTATACATTTTATTTGTCTGCTATCATAATGTGTTTATATTAAGAGAATGATAATCAAGCTAACGTATACGTAGCAAATATTTCGAAAACTAAGACCAACTGAACATGCAAAAGAAAAAAATTCTTTAAATTATTAATTTTTACAATTTATTATTATTATTTTATTATTTTATTAGAAATTAGCAAGAACTTTTGTATTCTAAATAATTAATTCTAATTTTTTAATTAATTCTAATTATTCTAATTTTTAATAATATATTATATTACATACTTTATTGTATTATACTACATACATTACATAATTGTAAACAAAAATAATTATTTTAATGATTAAATTTATCTTTTATATTTAATCATTATTATCTTTTTATATTTTATTTTCTATATTAAATATTTTTCTGCATTATATTTAACATGTATATGATCTTAACTCTATCAAAGATGTCTCTCAGACATCACTGATATCAACATTCTAAATATCTTTGTTAAATCTTTTGCATTCAATTTCAAGCATGTTATTCTAAGTATGCAATCAAATTGAATATTGCTTTTAGATTCTTTGAATTCTTAAATGTGAATTGTTTATATTAAAAGAAAAAATAATATAACTAATATTACTTAATTAGTTACATTCAAACGATAAAAAAAATTGCTAAATAATTGAATAAAAATTAATATATTCAATATCAAAAGGATTTTAAAGGACCGATTCTAAAAGTAAAAATAAATAACGAAAATAAATATAAAAATTAATATACAAAAAAAAGCTCCTTTGTTAAGATTTATTTACTAAGATTTTAAGCAATAAAGTCGCATTAGATAAAATGAGGGAAAAATAGAATGCAATAGATAGCAATAACAAAAAGACTCTCATTCATTTTATTCTATCTAATGCAAATTTTAATTTCTTATAATTTAATATAAGCCTTAATAAACATTTTTGTATTTGTTTCAATTTTTAGAATTAATCTTCCAAAAATATCCTATAAATATATTAATATCTTATATAAAATAAATTCAAAACCAAAAATATACCTGCCAAATAAAGTTTGGTTTGCTTCTAAAAGTGTCGAATATTAATTTCCCTACGCTAGTATATCCATTATCATTCAATATCACTCTTCCTTTCAGCACGTTGTTTTCGATTGTAAACATTAATTCTGTCTAATTAAAAATATAATGTAATATAATATAATCAAATCATAGTAATATATACTGAAAAAAAGTCAAAAATACTTGTGAATTATATATTCTTTATATGTCTTACATTACTATCTTTCTTTTCATCGATGCACATATTGATGATTGTTATAAAAATTACACTAAAAAATCAGAATAAGTTGATTTTAATTTATCGAACAAAGCACTACAAGTATTTGATGTTTATTAAGCAACAAGGAAAATTTTGCAAGTTTTTTATTGATATATGTCGTTCTCCCTCCTCATATTCGATCTGTATGTTATAATACTATGACTTGCATTAATTTTTTGTAATAAAATTCTTTGTTAATAATATTAATAATTTATATTTTGTTGATAATAAATAATTCAAATCAAATATTATTTTTTTATTTTTATTTTTTAATAAAAATGTTTTTTAATAAAATATTTCTTACAATTTTTTAAACTTTAATATTTTAGTGACATGAATTTATTTTTATATTTATTTATATTATCATTTATATTTATATATATATATTTTTCAAAATATTAATTTTTTTAATTTTAAAAATATTAATAAAATATTTTATATTAAATAATTATATATATATATATATATATATATATATATATGTATGTGTGTGCATACATAAGAGTATGTATATATGATTATTACTGAATATATGTAAAAATGTAAAAATGAAAATAATATAAAATAAAATAACTTAACAAGATAGTTAAATAGATAATATTTATCAATTTAATTATTTATCAATTTATTATCATGTAATTCTCGAAAATTGTTCCCAAAAACATGTGGCAAATGGATATCGCGTTGAAATTAATAATTTAATTTTCAATGTCAGATAATCACATTCAATAATCTATTTTAAAAAATATTCTTAAGAATAATTTACAATATTGAAAATAATATTCTTAAGAGATTATATTCTCTCAAATAATTCTCTTAATTTGTTCTAAAATATTTTAAAATATTCAATTTTATTATGTATGCATATTGTAAAAAAATATATCATTAATTATATCATTAACATGTAATATAAAACCTTGATTATTGAATTATTGAATTTATTTAGGAAATCTCGTTTGTTGCATTCCTATTGGACGTATCTACTATTACAAATTACAAAAGAAAGGATGATGTACAACATATTAACATCATAATTTCATAATATTCATATAAATTCATAAGGAAGATAAATAGATGTAAATAAATATATTATAAGCTGTTAATCAGATTACGATTGATTATTTCTTTTTTTGATGATGAATTTCAATATTTGCACAGTTTTCATGCAATAGTAGAAATTCTACTATATTTACAATTGACAATTAATCAACAATAATGATATTCCTAGATGTCATGATTCTTTAATATGCTATTTATCATGATATAGCAATCTTCAATTATGACTTTTCAATTTTCAATTATAGCTTTACGTTATTTATTAGTGACGTAACATAATTAATAATGTATTATAATAAAAATTATTGTAATTATTAAGTAAAACAATAAAACAAAGAAAATTATCAGTTCTTGCATCACTATTCCATATTATTCCATGCTAAATATTTGTTGAATCATGTAAAACAATACATTTAATTTATTGCAGTCGATTTAGTGATTTCAAATTAGTTTCTTATCTTCTTTCTTTTCTAATCTTAAAGCTTTTCGTTCTTCCACTTTTTTACGCAATGCATCTATTTTTGATGAAGTAATATGTTGAAATTGTTGTTGTGGTTTTGATAATGATTTGTCATATCTGAAAACAAGTAAACGATTCTTATAATATATTTTTTTACGAAAAATTATTTTTTAAATTTTTACTATTTTTTCTAATGTGTTAGACTTCTTTAAAAATAAATTATATTTTTTTAATTATATTAAAATTAATCAATTATCGAATTATCAAATCATAAATTATTTATTGATTTCGTCAAAGTTTTTTTTTGGTATAAATTTTGTATTATAAAATATAAATATGTGTAATGTAACAATTTTTTTCTTTGTTTTTATTAATTTTTAAATTTTATTTATTAGATTTATTTTATAATTTACTAATTTTATTGATATTATAGTTATCAATAAAATTGTTATTCTGTATTTTTTTACAATCGTTATAATTAATAATAATTTTACAACTAACTTATTTGCTTTGTATTCTTCGAGTGCTTTGCGTGTATCTCTGATTAAATTTTTCTGCCTTTCACGTTCTCGATTAATGATACATTTTCTATTTTTTATTTCTTCGTCTAATTTCATTTTCATCCAAAATAATCTCTCTTTCAGCTAAGAAAAAAAATGATTGATAATATAATAATTTGACTGAAATTTGCTTTATTTTTCATTAATTTTTTATCTAATTTTTATATCAATAAATTTTTGACGAGCTTTGATGAATTCAAAAATATGTTTTAATTTTAGAAATTCATGATATTAGAAAAAAATGCCTCTGAAAACAGATTATTGATATATACATGTTAATAAATATATACTATATATACTATATAATTTAAATATATACATGATAATAAAATAATAATAAATCGATAATTATATAGGATATTAATACAGGATATTAATATATTCATACGATGTTATAAAGAGTCAATTTTAAAAACTAAAATGAACACAAACTCAATATACAAAAATATCGATCAAGATTAAAATAGAATGAGATCTATCTTCGTTATATAATGTTCTTATTTCTCTTCATCCTGAATTTAAATTATTTAATTTAATAAATAAGCTGCAATTGATTTTTTTATATAGCAATTTTGTTACATATATATATATATAACAAAGATGCTATGTAAATAAATATATGTGTAAAAAAATATATATGTAATATGTGATAAATAACAAATATTAAACATTGACTTGATAGAAATGTTCTATCAATCAGATAATGTAAATTTCTTTTTCCAATATATACTATATGTTCCAATATATATTTCAATATATAAGTATATTTCAATATATTTCAATATATATGTTGTGATTATTAATTAAATTTTTACTAAAATTTTTATTACAAAATTAAATACTTAAATTTAGATACTTTGCAAAACTTTAATCAATATAGGAACATATTAAAATTATATTTAAACATATTCATAATTTTTAATATTTGAATTCTTAAAGTTAAAATTGGAATTCATTAGTCAAAAATTATTAATAAATAAAAAAATACATAAAAAAACTATTGAGAAAAAAAAATTTATACAAAATCTCCTAAAATAAACTTCAACTTAATAATATAAATAAATAATAATTAATAGTTTATTATTGTTAATTGAATAAAAATGATATGAACTTCCATCAAAGACATTTCGCAAAGAAGACCGAAGCCATTTGTTTCAGTTGGATCGAAATCCTTAAAGGATAATTCTCGTAAAGATTGAATTGTTCTAATTTCTTGGATTAATTTGATTTTTCTTTGAATTTCATTCTCTCTCTGCTTTATCAATTGAGCTTTCAATTGCCGAGATTCTTCGGTAACTTCTGCAGCTAATCCGAAAAATTATTGACATTTTATTAAATTTTGTTTTAAATAAATAATTAAATAAATATTTCTAGCAATTATTTAAAAAAAATTTTTTGTAATATTGTATTATAAAAAAATCTTCTTTGTATTTTTAATATTTTTTTTTTTGTATTAAAAAATTCTTGTATATGTATACAATAATTACAGTTATTATTTATTAAAATTATAATTACAGTAATTATTTATTAATATCTATGACAAAATAAATGTTTAAAAATTTTAAATATACCTCTTTGTTTTTTTTCATCAATCATAATATTGAAAGCTATACGAGAAGCTTGTTCGATTTCACGGCATTTTTCAACCATTTCCATTACTTCTTTATTATGGTTTTCTCTCCATTTCTCTAATTTTTCATAAATTTTTTGTTTCTATGAAAACAAAACAATAAATTTATTCAGAAATAATTATTATTTTGTAAAATAATATTTTGTGATTCAATATTATATATTATACATATTTCAATATTATATATAAATAATATTTTATTTATCACGAGAATCAAATTTATTTGCGAATTATTTTTAAAAGAAACAAATAACATGATGCTGTTATATTTTTAATTAATTTATAAGAATGAAAGAAAACTTTTACGAATAACATATTTTCTAATGGATAATTCCATACAACATGTGGCCACTGAATATAGTACGGATATTAAATATTTAACATTTGGGTATGGTATATGCTTATGATATATTATTTAGAAAGTTGAAATTAAATAGCAGATAAATCAAGATTTTAGCGCTATTAAAAAATATATTCTTTTAGGAACAATATCTCTAAAAATCTATCTATGAAATGAAGAAAAGAGGAGAATAATTATTCAGCACTTAATCCGAAACCTAAAATTGTCAAAAAATAAAAACAAATAGACTAACGAAAACTCAAAATTTTCAAATTTGTCAAAAGAATCAAAACCATGATTCACAAATCAATACGTTTTCTTGAAATATTAACTCATAACTGGTATCGTGGAGTTTAAGATATAATATGTGTATTTTCATACATTTAATTTTTTTATAAAAAAAACTATAAATTTAAAACATGTAATATTATTCATGTAACAAAAATGAATGATGTTAATTAAGGCTAGAATGTTTATTAATTTTAAATATATTTCAAATTGCGTGCTATTGACAAAGCAATATAATATGATTTCTTACCATATAAAATATATCAAAATATGTATATATATATACATATATATATACATATATATACATATATATAAAGGAAATGATATATATAGAAATGAATGTGCAGAATAATGTGTCTATAGAAAAAAATCTTCAATTTGAAAATTCAAAAATACAAAAGTAAATTTTGGGACATATAAAGTATGTACAAACCGTTAATATATATACACACATATATAAATATGTATATATTCGTAAAGTTTTGGAAAATCGATTTTAGAAATCCAAACAAACGCAAAAATTAATATATAAAAATAATTGAGATTTATTTATTAAATTATAAAATAATTAAATAAATAATTAATAATACAAAATTAAATTGCTTTTATATAATATTTGCTATAAAAATATATATATATATATATATATATATATATATATATATATAATTAATCTTATAAGTATTTGTATTTGTTCATTTATTTAAGCAATATTTTCTTATATTTTTTTATATTTTTAAATGCACGTTAATGGAAATATATGTTGTATTAACTAAATATTCATATAAATTTTATTGCAAAATAATGACTTAGCAAAACAAGTTTAGCAAAACAATAAAATTAAATAAACTATTACAAAATCAACAAGTATTCATATTATAGAAATTTCGTGAACGTGGAATCAAAATATTTCCAGAATTCTAAGTTATCTAGAATTGTTATTTCTACTCCATATTTACTATTGTTAATAATAATTGATCGAAAATAGAAAAGAAAAAGCAATCATTTGAGAAATAAAAAATAATCTAACAATTGTGACAATATTTGTATAATGTTTTAAAAATAAGTATGAAAACTTGTCAAAAAATTTTACGAAAAGTTTCTATTATATAATAAAGTAACATGTAAAAAATCATTAATCAATAAAAAAAATTGAATGAAGTTATTAGAGTTCGCAAAAAAATACATTGATAGAGGTATAAGCTTCTGGAAATTTATTTTTTCAAATGAAAATAAATTTAATATATTTGAATGGATATATTATAGTATAAAAACAATCAAATATGGAACTCGATTCAAGAAATTTAAAACTAATAGTTAAGCACAAAGAAGGTCATATGTAATATGAAAATATATAGTTATTTGCGGCATCGGTGATTTAATTTTCATTGAAGGAATAATGAATGAGAACACATAATTTAAATATTTTAAAGATTCATCAAATGCTTCTAAATTATAATTAGAAAATAATTACTTCTTTTAAAATGAAAATCTAAAATATAAGATTTTTATAGTCAAACATATTTTATAATGCATTCTTTTTGGAAATACTCTTGCCTTAATATAAATCTATGATTAGCTTTAATAAATATAATAAGTTCTATGATATAAAAATATTATACATTTCTGAGCGGAAAAAAGATTAAGAAATCAAGAGATAACCAATAAAGATGTTAAAAAGAAAATTTAAGAATATTTGAAATAATATAGAAGAAATAATTACTAAAAAAATAATATATAGTATATAGTATTTTATTATAGTATTTTATATTTGCAAAGTATTATTAGATGTAAAGACGTCCCAACAAAATATTAATAATTGTAAAATTATTCATATTTTTTATAATAACTAAATAAGTATGAATACTTGTAAAATGTTAATTTTATAATAATTTATTTAAATTTATTGTTTTATACTAAAATTTATTTTACAATAAAATTTATATGAATGAAAAGTTTATTTAATATAACATATAAATTTAAAATTAATGAATAAATAAATAAAAATATGAGACTGACTGTAGATGTTATACAAAGCAAAATGATGCAATGGTATGACAAATGTAAAATCATTTCACATTATCTCATTTAATGATTTAATGCAAACTTAAATTGCTTATAAAATTATAATTTAATAAGAGAGTTTCAATGAAAATTTTTATATACTAACTTTCATTTGTATTTGTTTTGATCTTTAAATCATCATTGTTTTGATCTTAAAATCAATTATTTAAAAAGTTTTTTGAAACATACTAATATATTGTATAAATACGTATGCATTTCTTTTTTCTATCTAAATTCTATAAAATAAAAAATAATTCTCGAAAATTTCAAGTCAAATAGTAAAAGATTTATCAATTGGATAAACAATTAGAAAAATGTAATAAACAAAAAATTTATATTTTTTTCTATAATTTGTTTTTTATGTTTTTTATGTTTTTTAGCTGTTAAATAAATTGTTGTTTTATTTTTATTTAATAGTTAAAATATTTATAAAACAAATTAATTTATGTTTTTTACTAAATAATATCTTTATGTTTTTCGATTATTTCTTATATAGTTATTTTATATTTCTTAATTATGTTCATCGAAAATTTATAGGAATTCATTATATCATATGTAAATTGCATGAAAAAAATTACTTCTAATGTTTATTAGAAAAAATATTAGAAAAAAAATAATAACAAAAAGATTGATATTAAATATTTTAAAACATATAATAGATATTAATTTAAATACATAATAAGTAAATATAATAAGATATTTTGAGTAATATTTATTTATGTCAGGCAATATAGATATATAATAGATATATAAACAAAATAATTTTTTGATAATCTAAAATGACTTTTTCTTATTCATTTAAAATTATATATATATTCGCCTTGCAAACAATTAGTTTTTATATTTTTAATTTTTAATTTCATCTTTTTTAAAATTATAATCATCGTTTTTAATTTTTACTTAAATTTTAAACGTCTTGTTGGTCAAAATTTATCTTGTTAGTTCAAATTGAAAGCTATAGACAGAAACTATTATAATTGATTAATTATAACGTTATACTCAATAGAGAAAATTCGAAAAAAACGTTAGTCTTTCTATCGCCTGATTTATTAAATCAAAAATTATTAAAAAAATTTCAAAAAATGATTTATATATTCATCATAATGCTAATTCTTAATTCAATAAAAAATCTTTGTAATTTTTAATTAGCGTTTTTATAAATAAAATTATTTTTATTTAATTTCATTATTATTATCATAATTTATTATTATAATTATTATTATTTAATTTTAATTTTTGTTTTTTCATGTTATTATTGCGTTAATTTTTGAAATATTTGCAAAATAAGATTGCTATTATTTCATAGTTTTTCTCTTACACATCTGTAGCTGCATAAATATAAATATGCGATTATTATTTGTCTATATTATTTTTATAATAGAATTATGCTAATTGAATTAACACATTAACTATCAACTACGAGATAACTTGTAGTATTTTGCATTATTGCCTAGGACATCAACTACGAGTTATTTCGTAGTTGATTACTTGTCATATTTGTACACGAACTAACTCGTAATTGGCTTTCGTGAAGATTTTTTTGTTATATAAATCAATTATGATGTAATTCGCAATTCAAAAAAACATATTCTTTTATGCTTTTTGATGAATACTATGTACTGTAATAGGAGATTTTAATAATATAATATGATTAAATTAAATTGGCTTTTTACACTGGAATCCTTAAAAATACCATAGTAGTCAACGTATTAAATCATAATTTATTACATTGTGATTATAATGTAATTGAAATGAATGAATTTTAAAAATTTCAATTAATTCAATTGCTAATTATTTATCATCATTTTGCTAATATTTTATCATCATTATAATTGTAATTTAATTATAATATAATTAAAATATATTGAACAATGTAATTAAAATTTAACAGTTTAGAACTGAAAAAAAAATATTAATATTTAACTTTTCCATGTATAAAAAAATTTTTTTTTCTTTGTATAAAAAAATTTCCATGTATAAAAAAATTTTTTTTTCTTTTTTCTATTTAATGAGTCATAATGATTTATTTTTTTAATATAACATAATATATGTAAATGTGAATTATATTATTTTTTAAATATATGTCTAAATTAAAATATATAACATGAAAGATAAGAATTTATAAATAATAATAATATTTATCACTAATATTAATTTTTCTATTTTTTATTCTAACATTCTTATTTATCATGATATCTGAACTTATAATATCTCAAATTCAATGCTTATTTAATAATTATAATATACCAACATAATTATATATAATTAATAATATTTATCGTTATAACTCCAATAATTGTAATTTCAGTTACTTAAGAATTGTTTTATATTTTACTCTTGTATTCAGCAAATCCAAAAAATTTATACATTGTCTTGCACATGCAATCATAGATGTATATATGTAACAGAAATTCTATGAAATAATAATAATTTTTTTTTGCAAAAATTAAAATCAAATAATCATAATATGCAAAGAAAAAACATTAATTGTTCAAAATGTTAATTTCTATAATATATGCAAAAATTATAGAAATCATTTTCATTTCGAATATATATATAATTATAAAATATTTTAACTATTGATAATGATTTTAAAAAAAATTACAAAAATTATAAATTAGAAATTAGAAAAAAATATAAATTTTTTGAAATAAAGATTCATACAGCATTAATCTCAATTAGCATGATATTTGAAAGGAAGATGAAAGAGAAAAATCTCAAATATAAAATTTTAGTTTCGGAAATTTATTGATTTTCAAGATATTAATGAAAAATTTTTAGTACACATTGAAAGTTGTATATATAGATGATATCAATACATTGTTCTCCAAATTACTACACCAGATATTATTAACACAATTTCTTTTATATTTTAGAAATCAATAAATTAATGAAATTATATTTAGAGTTCTTCTTCTCTCTTTCTTGCAAATATCTAATTTGTGACTTATACTATATGGAACTATAACTATTTTTTGTTTATGATTTTTCTTTAATTGTTTATACTAGACGAACCATACGATTCTGCTTCCCAGTTAGATCTCAGTTAGAGCTTTTTCTTTCTTTTTTCTAATTATTGCTCTCGTTCTTAATCGATTTTTCCACCATAAATAAATTAACTAATATATAGTTAATGAAATAAAACATATGAAATATAATTAAATAGCAAAATTGAAAAAATATTATATATAGTCTGTTATTGATAAGACTTGTAACATTTGACGAAATTCTTTAGAAATATAAAAAAAGTTATTCTTTTATAGCGAAAAGGAATTGAGCTGCCAATAATCTTAGCTCAGACAATTGATAAATCTTTTACTATTTAACACAATTTATGATATTTTTTAGAGAATTAATTTTTAATCCTTAGAATAAATTTGAATAAAAAAAAAATATATATATATTTATGCAGAATATACAGATTATTTATATTTCGCGAAACTTTTGAATAGTTAATTTTAGAAATTAAAACAAAAAAAGTTAAAACATAAAAATTTCAATTAAAATTTATTCATTAAATTATAACTTATAATTTAAGTTTGTGTTAAACAAAATAAGACCAAAATAAAATGAAATGATTCTATATCTATCATATTGTTATCATAACATTTCGCTTTTTATCTACTTTATTTAACAAAATTAAATTATATATTATATTATAATTTAATAAATAAATTTTAATAAATTTCTATACAGCAATTTTTATATTTATTTTGGCTTCTAAAATCGATCTTCCAAATATATCAAATATAAATATATTTTATATATTTACACATTTGTAGCTGCGTTTTACATGTTTCAAAATTGTATAAATTTTTGGAATTTGAATTTGAATCTTTCTTTATAAGATACATCATTCCGCGATATATTCATTACATTGTCCTTTATATATAGCTTTATAACAAACATACATATTTTGATTTATTTATTTTGCTTATATTCTTGTTTTATTCTATGTTATAACGTGCGATTCAATTGTGTAAATGTTATATTAAATAAAATAAAAAATTAATAAAATATTAACATGATTTTTCAAAAAAATAATCGAATTGCAAATCATGTTCTTGTGATAAGTTTAATTCTCATGATGAAAAAAAAAAAAGGAATTTTGATCTTGAAAAATTAGCTTAAAATCAATTTACCATTCTAATATTAATTTCTACCAAATCAATGTTAAATTAACTTGTAACTAGAGATTTGAAACGCTTGAATTATTTACAGCTTATAAAATTTGATGCTCTAAAAATTGATTATTTGTTTTGAAAATTTTTATCATCTTAAAAGTCTCAACAAATTTGAAATTTTTAATAATTATTTTGTTTTACTCTTATTTATTTTTGATTCTTTTTCAAAATTGAAACGATATTATTTGATTTTAATTCAAAAGCAAAAATAACAATTTCATGTTAATCAAACTTTCAAACTTTCTAATGAAGATTTTCAAGATTTTCAAAATTTTCAGAAATTTTGAAATTATTTAATTTAGCTTAAAAGATTATGATTCCGTACTGCCCATTCAATACCCATACAAAGCATCTCAAATTCCATTATGTCACTATCTATGTTAATTTATTAGCATTCTATACTTACCTCTTTTCGTACTGTTTCTGCATGGGCTTTAATGTTATTTAACAACAATTTCTTCGCAATAAAAGCATTCTCGCGAGTTAACAATGCTAAAAGATGTTTTTCTTTTATTTTCAGTAATTCTTCTTCTCTTTGTTGCTGTCGTTTCTCTTCTTCTAATTTTAATATCAAGGATGGATCAAGACTCCCTTCTGTTAATGCTTTTAATCTAAAATTTCATATATCAAACAGAAACATATCTAAGAATTATTTAGAAATGAAAAAAGTAATAATATAATAATATGAGAATACAATTTTATTTTCGCATTGAATATTATTAGAATAGATATTATTAAAAATGTTACAAATTTTAAATAAAAGATCGAAAAATTCTGATGAAATCGGCTGATCAATACGAAATTTGGAATAGAGAAAAGAGTTGAAAAAATATGCAATTTTTTTAAAAATATTCCTTAGTTTTCAAGATAATGAAAAACTTTTAATATTATATATTGAATTTTATCTACATATATTAATACAATCATCATTGTCAAATATTTAATAATCGATCTCAATAAAATTTATAGAATATCCTACGTAAAATTTTCAATTGATCTCATGAAAATCGCAAATATTGGTAGTTTCTTAAAATTCTTCTCACGGAGAATTTTAAAATCTTACCTAATCCAATACTCTTAAAATCGTTTTTATCTGAATTGTGTCCAAAATAATTACCATATTTGTATGCTAAATATTTTTATCTGCAAATTGATTTTTTTCTATTTTATATATAAAATATCTTAGTACATATTTAATGTTTGAAATATAGTTCAATTTCTTGAAAATTATTTATCAAACTTTTCGTAGATTGGAAATAAAACATTTTAGATGATCAAATGTAGCTTAGACATCAAATATTAGACATTCAATTGTATAAAAAGTAAAAAATAAGTAATAAAAAATTAAATAGAGAAAAAAACTAATTCTTAGTTTTAAAAAAAATTTAAAACTGCCAGAAAATGATAATTTAAATATTATTTTCTATCAATAATTTTTTCAATGCAAAAATAAAGAATATTTATATCAAAATCATTAATATGTAAAAAAGCTCAAAAACTTTAATAAAAAATTGAAAGAAGATCTTAATCTTAAAATGAATAATGGTTGATAAAATTTAAATTAAATAGTATTTGTTAAATAAGTATTAATAAAGAAAAACTTTTAAGATATAGCTATTGTTAACATTCTAAAATTAATTTTAAATTTTTAAGAAGAGAAATATGTATTGAAAAAATATTTATAATGTCGATAAAAATAAAATGAAAAGTATTATCACGAAAATTTTAGTTTTCCGTTGTGATAAATTAGTTGCTAGCCGAAAAATGAGTAAAGATAGCATTTATTTGTGCAAATTCTACTGGATTTTCATTATTATCAATACTAATAATAACAAAAATAAGAATGTTTTGATATTTTAAAAATGTTAATATGAATGCTCTACCAATTATCTATATCAATCTATTTATCAATCTTTGAATGGATAATATTATTTTCATTGAATAAAGAATGCTTTTTAATAAAAATTAAAAATAAATTGAAAAACAAATATAGAAAAAAACTATTAATAGTTAATAAACAATGTTAATTCGTATTCGTATAATTACAAAATATTAAGTACAAAAAAATTTATTAAAATCATGTATTTTTTGCATGTTACATTCAATGGATCATAGAATAATCAAATGTTTCAAAAAAATGTATAAAAAAGATTTGCTATAAAAATTAATATTATTCTTTTACTTAATATAAGTGAAGAAATGATAAAATTTTACAAAAAATTAAATATAAATTTTATAAAAATTAACCTTATTGTTATTATTACAGGAATATTTCATCAAATATCAATAATGCAACATTGAAAAGGGCATGGAAAAATTATAAAAATGGAAATAGCACGAAAGAGTCAAACACAATTTATAATATATAAAATTTTCTACTAGAAAAGAATATTGTTGTATAATCTGAATACGTTTATCTCTTATTACTGCGAATATATTATTTCATATTATCAATAATCGAGGTTCCATTATACTTATATCTATTTATTTTTTTATGAATTTAATTAAAAACTTTCTTATGATTTTTTTTTGATATACATATGCATAACGAGAAAATTATTTTTGCTTTATCGCCCAGAAATTAATTTATATTTTATTTTCACTTAAGTTATCTATGAACAAATATTAAGTATGCTGATATTTATTCATTTATGTTTATATATATATTACAATGATGATTGCATAGTTGTATTATTAAAAATATATACGTATAAATAGAATTCGATATATTAATAGTTTTTTTTAAATAACCCGAAAATTAAAAAATTAATTACAATTCATTGTTGATGAACTAATGGCAAAAAATATTAATATCAGATGCATCTAGACACAATATTTAAATGTTTTAGCTAAATGTAGTTTTATACATAAATAATTTTGAATTTTGAATATATATATATATATATTCACACATTTGAAATATATATTAATTATAAATACTTATATAAGAAATTCAGTCTTAAAGTAATGTAATGTAATGGAAAAAATTGCTTAAAATGATGCAACATATTTTATAACATTTTCAAATTCATTGACATCGATGAGGAAAGACCAATATATATATATATATATAATAAAATTTACCTATAGCTCGATTATAAAAAAAATATATAATATTTATATATTTGCTATCTATTTATATATTTGCTTCAAATATCAGCTTCTTTTCTATCATCTTAGATCACTTCATATAGAGATTTTATTTCGAATTTCTTTCATTCTCATAAATCAAGTTTATAAATTTAAATTTTTGCATTAAAGTTTCATTTTGATTTAAAATTTTTATATAAATATAAGGAGTCAATATTAGACTATAACTGATGATGTATATAATTATTGTCTTGCCTTTTTTTTCATTTCGAGCTTATTGGAAAATTTGTATTATGCAAAATTTTTTGATATGTTTACATCTTAATATAATATATATAATAATATATATATATATATATATATATATATGTAATTACTTTTTTATTTCTTTTTCTTCAAGGTTGATTACATGAGCACATTCCCTTAATGTTGAAGCTGTTGTATGCTTTATTTCGACTGGCTAGAATAAATAAATAATTAAAAAGCAGATAAAAATTATTTTTCGAATAGAAAAGTAATCTTTAAGAAATGTAATACCAAAATGAATCCATAATAAAAGTCTTACATTCTTTTAAGTTTAAACAATATTTTCTTTTATCTAAAATTATGTTTATTTTTTAATAAAAAAAAAATTAATGAAAGAAATTATTTTTAAAGATAAAAATAATTATGTAATAAAAATCAAATAAGATTATAAAAAATCAAATTTTAAATATGATTTTTATAAGTATTATTATTAATTATAGTTATATTATAATTATTACATATTGTAATTTTCTTCACCTTAAAGTTTGGAATTGATTTTCGTACAAAAGTTGTTTTTGATTTTTGTTTCTCAATTGATTTCTCTAGAAATTTGTAACGTTGGAAACAATTTGGAGCATTCTTATTCGCATCTTTCAACAAATTCATTGCATTTAACTTGTTTGTTTTTCGTAATGATTCTAATTTTGTTTCCGTCAATGGTTTGAGATAATTCGATCTTGGAATTTTTCGTGCGAACTTCGTCACTGACAAATCCTATCCAGGTGATATGAGTCTTCAAAAAAGGAAATCTTAATGACTTGTTAACTGTTTTAATTATATTAAATCGTACATTTGAAATAATTTGATAATTACATTTAAATAATATATTTATTAATATCTATATATGTATATCTACATATATATAAGAATATTTCATAATATTAAAAGAATCATTTGAAATTATTTGAAAATAATTTTCTGTGTAAAATAATTAATCTGTGTAAAAATCATTTTAAAATTCTTTAATAATCGTTTGAAATTGTTTAAGTAACATTAAATAAATTAGTTAATGAAATGCTAAAATATCTTCATGCAAAGCAGGTAATTTTATATACATACAATGACTCATAATGAAAATTGAACGGCTTTTAAAATAGAATAATTTTTAAAATTGGATCAAACTTGAATTCTTTTAAAATGTTAGAAGAATTAATTTATTAAATAATATTTCTATTTTTCTAATTGAATAAAATGTAATTCATGGTAATTCATAAAAAATTATATGAAATGTGAAAAATTGAATTTTATTTAAAAACATTATATTTATATTTATATTTATATTTATATTTATATTTATATTTATATTTAGTTAAAATATAGTGTATAGGAAATTAATTAATAAAAACTATAATAAAATTAATAGAAAATATATAGAGAAAATAATATATGATAAAAATTAATACATTACATAATACTTGAAAATGTACGATTCAAAATATTTGTCGATACATTATATATTATATATATATAATGCTTCGATTTTTTCATAGCATTAATAGAAATAAATAAAATGAATATTCCTATGCAGATGACAATCGATTGGATAAATTTTTCAAACAAAAATAATTTTGTTTATTAAAAGAAATATTCGTAATACTAGTAATTTGGAATACTAAAATATTTAAAAATTTACTAACATTATCTAATTTGTAATATTTGTAACATTATAGTTATACAACAAATAATAAAAATGAATGATCTATTAACCAATAAGATTTGTGTAAAAATTGTAATTTTATTTCTAATTTAATTTAATTTAAAGAGAAGAATAAATTTAATTTCTTAAAAAAATTTTTGCAAATATTCAATTGTTAATATCATAGTCAAAATAAAATAACTTATTTAATCTATTTATTTACATTTTAATTTTATTTTATTAAATAAATTTTGCAAATATTCTGAGAATATAAAATATGATACGAGATTTTAAATGCTATATTACTAATTTGGAAAACAGAAAATAAAGATAATTTGAAATATAGAATATTCAAAATGTTTTATTATTTAAATTAAATAATGAATTAATCAAAATGATTAACTGTAGACCAAATCTACTAATGCTTATCTATCTACTTATGCTTATCTATATTTCATATCTTAAAAATATGGCAATCCGTTAATTGAAGATTCCTGAAATAATTTCAACATTTTCCTTTGCAAATTTTTTCAAAATTTTCGTTATAATTTTACGAATTATTAACAAAAAATAACGGAGCACAAACAAATTCAAGCAATATATGCAGAAAAAATATATTGAATATAATAAATATTTTTTACTTATTAATATTAAGAAATTATATCGAATTATAATATAAACAATAAATAAATTCAATATATAATATTCAATATGTTTTTTTCGATATATGTTGCTTGAATTTGTTTGTGTTTATTCTGCAACATATACATATATAGATAATACTATCGTTGTTCTAGTAAATTACACGCTTCGTGATTGACCAATGTTTTTTAATAACAAAACTATAATAAAAATTTTTGCAAAAGAAAATGTTACTTGAAATTAGAAATTTTCGATTAATGGATTTCTATATTTTTAAGATACTTAGTATTAGTTTATATTATACTGCATATATTTAAAAATTTATAGATTTTCATTTTCTAAATCCATTTTTATTTTTTACAATGTGATACGTAACAAAACTTCTCAAAAATTTATTAAATTCTTAATAAGCAAATTGTAAATTGTGTTATAACTTAATAAATAACTTTTAATCAATATTTTTATATATCAACTTTTATATTTATTTTAATTTCTAGAATTAACTCTCTAAGATATCTTATGAATATGTATTGAATATGAATATGTATTTCTAATAAATTTTATGAGGATAACAGCTTAAAACATAGAGGAAATCTTAAGAAAAATTTCGTTTAAATTGAAAAAAAAAAGAATTTTCGAAAAATTTTGTTATACATATTTATTGCCGATTGCCATTTATTTTTGTACAAATAATTAGTAAATAGAAATCAGAATTGACACATATACTATCATGTAAATATATAGAATTCAATATATAGTATACATTGAATGTTTTTTGAATTATAACTCGAAAATTAAAGCCAATCATCGATTATTTATTACGGAAAAAGTTGATTAAAATAATTTTCTTTATAAGGATTTCAAGATCATTAAAAATGGTAAAAAAAACTAATCGGTAATAATCAAAGTTCCAATTACAATATATATATATATATATATATATATATGTATACTATGACAATAGAAAGAAAAAATATTAAATTAGTTATTTTCAATTTTACAAATTACTCACTTCGGGTGTATTGGGAGGCACATTTAAACGAGTTCTTGGTCGATTTAAGACATTCATAAACATAGGAGTTGTTAATTCCTTTTTAGGAATTTTTATATTTCGTAAATATTTTTTCAAATGCTCCTGAAGTTTCTTTAAAAAATTACTTATATGTTATTCTTGTTTTTTAATAATAATAATATATATATATTATATATATAATAATAAATAAAATTGTAATTGCTTTAAAATTACTAAATTTTAAGTAAAAATTGTAGTAAAATCGAACCTCTAAATATGGTGTTGCTTCTAATAATGGGAGCACAAGATTTTGCTCCACAAAATGTTCTTCAAATGTCAAACAACCTTTTTCCAGGAAAAAATTCGGAGTTTCTGCACGAAGAAGATAATCAATTAAATTTAAAATTTTTTTTACTTTAAAATGAATAAAACAATCAATTGAATCTTCAAAAAATATATTGAATATTCTGTATGACAAAATGTATACAAGCACTGAAATATTAAATTTATTAAAATAATATGAAAGTTTTTTGAAAAAAAAGTTAATAAAAAATTACCAACTTACACATCGTTTGATGCAAATCATCATAATTGCGACAGTTTTGTTTATCTAAGTAATCTTTACTTACTGATTCTAAAAAAATTGCATAACGAACTATATTCATGAACAAATCGATTAAGATACTTTGCAACGAAATTGGCATAATCTATATAAAAAGAAAATTATACTATTATATATATATTAAGTAAAAATTTTGTTATATAAAAATGTAATTTAACCCTAAGTTCCTCAAATTTGTTAAAATGTTGTTCAATTGGGTTGAAATCAAACTTGCACTTATCCTTTGAGTTTTTCTCAACAAATAAGAAGATGCAAAATTCATCTGGACTTAATTCTTGCTTCAGTATCAGATATACATCCAAAATTTTTATCAATGGAATTAGAATAGGTAATTGAAAAACATTTGTCTTCATTAACTAAAAAAAAAATTATTAACTATTAGTTATTTGAAATTATATTTAAGCTATTAGTAAATATTGAAAATTATACCTCTTCTTCAGTGCAATTCATTTTTAAGGAATCTAACTTAATAATCTATTATCTCTTATAGTTTAAATATTACAATTTTTATTAATTTAAAGATTTTTAAATTCGTTAATAATACTTATTAAAATTAATAAAATTAATTTAATATTTCGTTTAACTTCACAAAATGGGAAAGATAAGAAGGATTCATTGACAAATTCAGAATGTTTCAATAAATAAAGCAAACTTCAAGATAGATTACTTTCAAATTAATTTAGAAAAATATTAAATCCTTTGCAATTTTCATTCATCATTTCAAATAACAATTCAAATGATGAAAAAAAAATAAAATTAATATAATAATAATATATTGTTTATTAAACTTTTAGTTAAGATTTTTTTAAAATTAATATGACAACAATAAAAATCATAAAATACCATAATATGTTTATAAAATCAAAATAAAATCAAAATTCCAAATAATAATTTCATTTATCGGGAAATAAACAGACTATTTAATAATACTTATCTCAAATAGGTTGCTACTAAACGATTACAATTTATATAACTCGCAATATTTATGCTTTGTCACTTAAATAATAAGAAATTAAATTTATGTAAATGGATCAATTGTAGTTTGTTTATTTTATTACATTTCATACTATTAATTTATTATTAATATAAAATTTTATTCTAACAATTCAGATAATTAAATAATTCAAATAAAATTCCAGTATGTTGTTAATTATACCTAATAAATTATCTATATATTAAATAATTATCTATATATTTGCATTAATTATATTTAAAAAAATTTCAAGACAATTTCATTTACAATTCATCATTCAATATTAACAAACAATGTAAACAGAATTTATAAAAATTATTGAAAAAAAATTATTGTATGAAATATTTTTAACAGATTTCATAATATAAAAATATTTAATAAAACAAATACTTTTAGATATTATTAATTACTAACTACTATTAAATAATTTATTAAAAAGTTAAACGAAATCTTTTTAATTTTTTTAGATTAATAAATAATAGAATAAAATCAATAACCAATTTTTTTTTACCAAGATATATCGCAATTTTTTATCGATATATTAAGATATATATTATATTTTGAAATTATAGTCAGATTTACATCCAGTATATAAAAATATATAAAAAAACTTTCCGTTTTTAAACAATAAAACCTGATTGATTTATTAATCTTTTTCATCAAAATAACTGCGTTATTTTGTCTTATACGCTTTTTTCATAAAAAAAATTATCAAATTTAAAAAAATGTAGAAAAAAATGTTAATATGATTAATCTTGATTCTTCTATATTATTAAAAAAATACTTTATAAATTTTTTATGAATATGAATACGTAAAATTGGATAAAACTTTTATTGAAATTGAAGATGTTTTATAAGCAATGTTTATCTTTTGTTTTTCAGATAAGACTAAGTATAAGAGCTGGTGATACCAAGTTTTAATAAATAATGTCTAGTCAGTCTAAATAAAATCACAGTTAAAACAATACGAATTTGTTATTATAAAAATATATATTTCTATATTATAAATATTACTCTTTATTATTTCACTCATATTACTCTTTATTATTATTATATTATTTATTTTCATTTAATTTGCAATAGGTTATAAACCAGTGTCTAATGATTTATCAATAAAATTGATATAATAAATAATTGATAATTGATATAATAAATAAATAAATGGTTAAAGAAAAATTGCGAGATATGATAAAAGATGAAAAATCTGATTCAATGATTCCCTAATTGCAAAAAGATAAGTATACTATTGGATTATTAATAAAAAATTATCAATTACAGTATATAGGGAATACGAAATATCACGAGCATATGATTCTTTGAAAAGCTATCACCAAAAAGCAAAATGCTCAAAAATTACATTTACATTTTAATATTGACATTTTAAAAATGATTGCATAAAGTATAAATCGTGAAAAATAATAGAGAAAAGTTAATATATCTTCAGAATATAAATTTTCATCTTCCAATTATTGTTGTTATTGTTGTATAATAATTATGAAAAAAATTCCTAAAGAAATATTTTTTTTAAAAATAAAAATAACTCATAAATCGATTTTAGTGAAACAAGCTACATGGTAACGTTGAAAGATTTTTTTATTGAATTCAATTCGAAGAAAAAGCGTATATGTATTTTGCAGACGAAAGGGGAACGGCTAAAATATAAGAAATCGATTTAAGAGCCATAAAATATGCGATAGATTTAAGCAAACTTGTCCAAAAAAAGACGTATTATATGTCCTAATCTTCGGATTAAATTTATTATTGTTAAAAAAACTAGTAAATAAAAATTACAAACTAACTTTCAAAGATGACATTTGTATAATTATAAAGAATAGTGAACTAAAAGTAAATTATTTTCAGTGGAATTTATTCCCAATTTTTTTATAAATAAAAACAATTAAAAATTTGTGCAATAAGCAATATCATGAGTATAAGACATATAAAGGATTGTTAATATATATCAAATATTGAAATTCGATCTCCATTAAGAATTTGTCCAAAAAATATTTAATAAGAGTATTAAGATAAAGCATTATGGAGTAATCCTCGATATTAAAGATAAAATCGCACATATTTTTTCTAAAGAAATCAATAAATAGATGTAATTCAATCTTAAATTTTATTCATACAAAAGTGGGTATGTTGTGGACTAATATAAATAGTGACGTAAAAATTTTTATTTGTTATATTAACAATTATTATATATAATTTTTCGCGGTTTTATTTCATGAGTCATAAAAAATGTTTCATATATTAAAAAATTTGTGAAAATGAACAACACAATATCAGAAAAAAACCAAAGAAAATAAGGTCTGATCATGAAAAAAATATACTATATTTACTAAATTATTTTTAAAAAAGGAAATACAAATACAATATACTATTGGATTATAATATATATATAATATATAGAATGATTTAATTCCACTTTCAAAAAATAATAGTTTAAAGGTACAACAGAAAGACGAATTTAAATTATTAAAAATTTTTGCATAGAGGAAAAAAAATTTTTAGAATTCACAATATTAGAACACAAAAGCTTAGAGTTTAACATTACACTTCAAAGTCAGAATTCAATAATTTAAATAAAAATTAATGCTAAGATATAATAAAGACAATAGACAATAATAGACAAAAAATATATAATAGACTAAAAATTAAATAAAAATTAATTCCTTTATTTTATATAAATGATTAATTGAGTAGTGTTAATGATCATTGAATATACTTATATGAATATACTTATATAGATTTTCATCCGATAGAATATTATGTGTTATTTTTCGCTGATATTTTATCTGTAATCAATGTATACATGTATACAATAGCATTACATGCAAATCTATCAAGAATTAATTTAATTAATTCTAACTATTTATTTACTAATTTAACTAATTCTAACTTCAATTCAAACTAAAAAAGAAATTAAGAAAATACTAAAAAAGAAATAGAAATATCAGAATACTATTATTAAGAAAAGATAGAAGAAGATGACTTAATAACCTATTTCAAAATTCGAGTTGAATTTTTGATTACTGATTGATTTTATTAACTTATCTAACTTTATCTATTTATTTAGTGAATTCTTTTATAATTTAATATAGACTGTAATTTATCGTTTATTTTTGTATTGCAAATTTTATTATTTATTCATTAAATACAAAAATGTTATATTCATCTTTTTACATCAATTTACATCTTTTTACATCATTTACATAATTTTACATCTTTTATATCATAATTAGTTTTAACTAATGAATAATTTCGATTTAGTTATTCTTATATGAATAGCAATTAATTAGTTTATCTATGTAATAATATGTAATATTGCTATATAATAATAAAATATAATTCAACAACTCTTTTTTAATAAAAGAATGTTTATATTCAACATACTTTTTTTAACATATATTGCTTAGAATTGTTTATTGGAATCATCATTTTATGTTATATAATCGATACATATTTAATGCTACATGGCTCAATTAGTTTATATGCTTCGTTATTATATAGTATTTTTTACTAATAATCCATTAATAACTCTGCAAAAAAAAAGTTTTTGCAAAGAAAGATATTGAATGAAATTATTTAAAAAATCTTCAATTAATGTATATTTTTGGAGAATTCTATATAATTACCTTTGATGAAGCCAGTTTTTATTTAAATCAATATTAAACCATGTTCACGAAACAATTGCTATTTTATCTCTAGAATTTAAAAAATTGCAATTCTAATTTAACAAATTTTAATTTATAATAAATAAAAAATCATTTTTATAAAATATTATTAAAACATACAAAAATAAAAAAATAAAGAAAATATAAGAATGCATAACAAATATTTTAAATACTTACGAGAAACTTTGATTTTTTTAAAACATTGCTTTCTGATTGTTCGCAAGTACTTACTGCTCGAGAAATTTATAAACAGCTTATTCGGAGAAATTCCTCACAAAAATCCTTTTCTTATCGCTTGCAGATCTCTATTAAGCTTAAATAAAAGATGACATTATTTGAAAAGATTATCGTTTGAAAGTTTAGTTAACACTTATTGTATATTTTTGACTTCAGCCTGGCTGGAACAGAGCCCGATCTCAAGGATTGACTCAACAGCAACCAATATCATTCTAGTTCGAGAAATTTTCTTCTAACTTGGGAGTGTTGCAAGTCAGGCACTAACCGCGATGTTATTGATTATTGTCATATTCCATCAGGAAATCCTTCCAATTGAACTAGGGAGAGATTTTCTGAACTAGAAAGGGCATGAGGCTTTATTGATGAAGAAAGTGATCATAGTGATCACGTCGTAGTCTGACTGCCGGATACGACAATTAGTTTGTGAATACATCGTTCTCTGACCGTCAAATACAATTATCTGCTATGACATTGAAACCCTGCTGTCTCATAAATATGTGCTCTGCACATATAACCACTTATACAATCTATATCATTAAGAAATATACTTATTACGATCTTGT